TACATAGGAATATATAGGGAAATCTTTAAAATTTTCTTCACTGCAAAGCCATGATTAGTGATATTTTTAGTGTAGAATTACATTTGTTCAAATCATAACACCCAAGGGTAGGGCGGGGCCAAAATGGGGATAAGAATTATACATGGAAACTTATACATATATTCTTTAAAAAATCTTTTTCTAAAGAATAGCAAAGCCATGATTTAGTATTAGAATTCAAGCCCCCTCCCCCCGCCCACCCACTCAGTAAACTTCAATTCTGATCTGATTTGTGTGTTTTCCTAGCCGATGTGCTCAGGTGAGCGATGTGGCCCCTGGGCCTCTTGTTTGACATTGACCTCACTTTTCATTAATTAGTGTTTAGATCAGTTTTAAGGACATACGCAAGGTATCTTACCTACATGTAGTATTCTTTAGATAATAAATTGCATTTATCTCATTACATGTTCTGCACAAAACATTGTAATAATTGTTAACCAGGCATCAAACTAATAAGTTTTTTAAAATTATGCATTATTTCAACAGAAAAATTCATTTTAATACAAAATTGTCATAAAATTAAATTATTTTTCATCAAAATTTGTTTTAGAATAGCTGTACAAATCCATATATACACATTAAAAGCATCTTCACACAGGTCCTTCATTTAAACTTTCAACTCTGGAATATACCAAGCATTTGATTACATACATGCACCTTAAAGATACCATGCGAAATCAATATATTTTTCATATACTGTTCATGCTAGAGAGCTGTTCGAATGCATCACCATTTTTGACCTTAACTTTTTTTTACCATAACATGTATAGTATTAGATATAACGTTTTATTTTTAAGAAACCATCCAAGGTATTTTTATCAAACTTCATATGCTGATACATACTGATGATAGCTATTCAACCGTCTCAACATTTTCGACCTTGACCTTTCCTTTGACCTTTAACCTCACTTTTCCTAGATTAGTGTCAAACTTCATATGCTGATGCATACTGATGTAAGCAATTCAACTGTATCAATATTTTTGACTTGACCTTTCATTTGATCTTGACCTCACTTTTATCATATTGCATTTAAGTCAGTTTTAAGGAAATCATTTATAATATTTTTTTTCAACTTAAAAAATATACTTTATTATTATTACTCCTATATCAACCTATGTCTTCACCAAGGAGAAGTCAACGAAGTCATTTCCTTGACCTTCACCTCGCTTTAAAGAAAGTTTTAATTCATATGCTGATACATACTGATGTAAGCATTCAACTGCATCACTATTCAAGATATTGCTGTGAAGAATTTCATACACTGATCCAAATTTTCATGTTGCATTACTAAGACACCCGTTGTTTTGTCTTTACATGAAATAATGGATATATTTCTAGTGATTTTCTCCTTTGAGCATATTTTCCAAAATTTGAAAAAACATCACAATTTTATTTTTTAAAAAAAATGAAAAACCTTTGCTGAATAATTAAAAATATTAATCATTAATGGGGCTTAGCCATCCATTACTACAGATCTAAATAAGGTTCTTTTCAATGTGTAAATATAAACATTTTACGCTGTTTTCAAATGAAGAGATGTGACTTTTGATTTAATAATTTCTAGGTTACTGGCTACTAATTCTTTTGTTGGTTGACAGTTGTGCAACTTCTCTCTCCACTTAAGAAGCAATCTTCACTTCATCAGTGATATCGATATCTCACGGAGAACCACTTCATAGACGTGGTGTGGGACTGTGCCATTTATGGGGACTCACAATACATCATTACCGTTTTGTCATGTGTAAGCTGGATTGTTTTATCCGGGAGTAAACACTCATAGATGGGTGTGGTTTACTGTGCCTGTTTCGGGACTCACAGTACATCATAACAGGCCGTTTTTGCAGAGTAGGTAACACTCAATGAGATCCACACAGAGAAGTAACGCTACAGAGATTTGAGTAACAAGAGAGTGGGAGTAACACTTTGAGATGGGTGTGGGACTGTGTCTTCAGTGGGGACATGTACAGTACATCATAACCTGCATTTTTCGTATAGTCACTCAGAGAGCTGAGTAACACTCGATAAACAGATTTGAGTAACACTCCAAGCTTTTTAACACCTTAGAGATGGGACTATGGGACTGTGTCTTCAGTATAGGGTATAATTATGTCTTTCGTACTAACAGGTGAGTCAATACTCAGACTGTACCTTTAGGTGTGTCTTATAAGCTGATTAACACTCAGAGAGATGAGTAACACTCATAGATGGGTGTGGGACTGTGCCCTCAGTGGGGACTCACAGTACAATGCATAACAGGTGAACGTGTTACAAACTGAGTAACACTTCAGCAAAGCTAAATAATAAGACTCAGAGATGGGTGTGGGACTGTGCCTGTAATTCGTCTAAAGATTTGAATTCCTTCTTTCTATGTAGTTGGTTTCACAAACTGAAAAACACAGATGAGTAGGCATGAGAAAGTCGGAAAAAGCATGTAGTTTTAAGTTATCAAAATACATGTACGAGGGGTGATCAAAAAGTTGGCAAACTATCTCTATATCTACAAAACCACAATTCAGATTAGAATGAAATTCGGTACACACATAGCCATACACAAGGTCTATAAATAGCATATACTGAATAAATTTTATCTCCTTGTGTGTGACGTCACAATGTAAAAATGACGTCACTATTTAGGTCACTTGTGACGAAAAATGGTTGTCTCAGTCGAACTCGGTCAACAAACGACTGTACAATTTATTGTAATATCTTAGAAATCCCTCTACAGTATCATATAATAATTTGTACACAGTTTATTGAGATAAATGAGTTCCTATAAATTCAATTAATGATTGGATTAATCGTTTTAGTGAAGGAAGGCTGATGGTTAAAAATGATACTTTTCATCTTGCCCAGTGAAAGCAAGTTTGAAAAGATATGTATTTTTAATTAAGCAATTTGCTATCAAAGACCTCCAATTAGCACTTTGAAAAATAGTTGAATATTTGAACAATGATATAAGTATTAAATACCTAAGATATCGTTTACTTTAGATTTTAAACATATTAGATATGATAAAAAGGATGCACCCATTCTCTATCCACCTTGAATAAAGGTCTCTCCTGAGACAGAAGATTTGTGTTTTAATGGTCGCCATGCTTATTTTGGGAAAGGATGTTATTATCCACCCATTCTGTTGCCGAGATATGACCATTTCTGACACATTAACTGTTCTTGTCATAAAAATTAACTCACATGGAAAGAAATATAAAACTCGGAAGAATCTTTTAACTTTTGTGACAGTACCCTACGGAGGGGGTCAGGTGACCGCCAATATCACGTGATTCGCGCATGCGCAGAACGGTGGTTGATGTGCATTAAAATAGGGGAGGATTAATTTAAAACAATATCAAAACCAAATATTGTTTCTTGTATGGAAGTTATTCAATTAGTTTGCGAACTTTTTGATCACCCCTCGTACGTACTGAATAAATAGAAAGTTGCTGATAGAATCTGAAAAAAGTATGAGCAATAATAGTTTTAAAGTATTTAACCCTAATTTAAAAAGAAAATGTTTACAAACGGTAAATATACAAAATGTCACACGGGTTCTTTAAAGGACATAGGAAATTCTGGTAGGTAACATAAGACACATACGATGTTGTGTGCAAGTGCAGTGTTAGAGACATGGTTAACTGTAGAACTATTTAAGTACGAGCTAAATTGATATTCAAAATTTCCTTTGTAATTATCGCGAAGTGTGAAAAAAAAAGGCTTCAATCGTCCAGTGAGGTCTAGAAGATAATTAATTGTGCAAGCCAAACAATGGGTCCTCATTAGAGTAAATTAACAGTTTAGCATTAGAAACTGAGAACGGTACATAATTTTGAGGTTTATTTGATTAATACATTTATATAATTTATTTATTATACTTTCAACGACGAGTTAACTGTTGCGCTAATATTTTAACTGTGGCGGGGCCGCCATGTTAAACGGCCGGTGGAGAATCCTACGATATTCGACAGATTTTTTCAAGAGTTGAGAACCAACCCCCCCAACCCACCCCCCCCCCCCCCCAAATGTAAATATATCTTGATTAGAAACTCAAGCATCTTTTTAAAACGAAAAGCGTTAACTTTTATTACAGGAAGTAATATCAAGTAAAGAAAAATTTTTAAATGAGAGAATCACATTAAAATGAGTTAATCTTGCAAATATTGCTGTTTCTTTTGATATAATATTTCATTCTTGAAATCTCTCTATGCAATGTTTATGCCACTTGAACTTAACCTAGTAACAAACGATAAATCCATTTCGGAGCAAAGTTCAATAATTCATTTCGAGTATTACGCATTTGATCAATTGGTTTGAGGACAACGTGATTTTTGAACCAGAGATTCAAACAGTTTCTCTCAGCCTAACGGCTGAAGCCAATATTTTTTCTACGAGAATACGGAAAACAATTCCCCCAACTAGTGTTTATTGTAATATTGTTATTGGCAAACCTAATATAAGCAAACAAAATCTATTAATTTGATTGTGTCCGATACTTCTGACTATGGTAAAACTTATCTGTTCAAACTCACTTTGATTGATTTATTGTATATTGTTTAACGATACTCATTTTGATGTAAAATTGTGATACAAGTGTCACAAATTTATCCTTTTTTGTTATAGATTTATATTTCATTTTTTCAATTTATTTTTTTTTAAATTGCATACAAATTATATTATAAGAAGGACAACAACATTGAATGTAAGAAAAGAAATGAACATTTTGACAAGTTTTTTATTAACATGATTTATACAATAAAATTTCTGGATACAATTCACAATTGTTCGTTTTATTACTAAAAGTTATATTAGTTATATATATATATATATATATATATATATATATATATATATATATATATATATATATATATATATATATATATATATATATATATATATATATATATATATATATATATATATATATATATATATATATATATATATATATATATATATATATATATATACATAGTAGATTATTTTTATTGTCATTTGTGACCATTAAACAACACATCAGCAAGTAAGATCATCTGAGCAAAACACCTTTTTACAGCGGTCTCTTTCTTTTTCTATGACAGAACAGCAAACACCACAGAAAAGATCTCCAACGGTTGATCTCAGAGTAGTAGCATAAGACTGAATATCTCTTGTTCTATCTGCAATGCAAAGAAAATCTAGGTTATATTTACTTTTCTAAGTAAAAATTAAATACAAACTAACTGCAAAAATGTTTTACATAAATAGCAAGAAAGGTTCATTCTGAATATTTAAAAGGGTATTTTTTTATCATTAAGTTATTCTTTTAAATTCGTCTATGCAGAAGTAGGCAGCAGACTAAAGTAAAACGAAATCTTACTGTAAAAATTCTTTCTCGACAATCAGATTATATAAAATCATAAATTCAAAATGAAAGGAATTAGCTGATGTATACGTTTAATATTTCTCATGCAAAAGAAAAGGTCTATAGACAATCAAAGAAACAAACAAATCATAAATTTAGATATTCTTTACAATATAATCAACATTTGCAAGAATATGTTAAACTAAGCAGGATAATTGATTAAAAGGCTGACATTTTATTACCAGTTATGTATGGATTTAAAGTGTAAAGAACTTTAACTGAAAAATTGTAACTGTAGAATATAATGGAGATGGTTTGCTTTTTATTTTAAAAAAATGTTAAGTTTTGATTCCATGCCTTCTGCATAATTTTTTTAACAAAAATATACTATCTGCATAACATGGCTATATCGTGTTTTTCCATACATACCTTTTTTAAACTTATGAAATTGTTTGCACATAGAACAAATTCATTAAAAATGTTTATTGACTGGTTTTAGGCTGTGTTAGTTTGATAATCGAGTGATCAATGAGATACCTTTTAAAAGACAGAAGGAGTAAGCTGAATCGTCGACTTTAAAGCAGTTTCTAGCTTGCCAAGTATCTTCAACACATTCTAAACCTAAAGTGTGAATAATATAAATAAGTTAGAATAATGAAAAACTTCTAATTGCAAGGTAAATTAAACAAAATTTAAATTTAAGGTACACATTAATTTGTACGTGGAAAACTGTGTGACACTAGCATTATCAATTATATCATTTGATACTGGATATGTTTTATTCCATAAAAAGATTAGCTAATGGAACCTCACAAAGAATCAGAATACAACATAATTATAAATAAAATGAGAATGTTTGCAACATTGTAATGCATGTTTTATGATAACATTAATGCTATAAGTTCATATAATTCATTAAGAATGTATTTAAAAATTACCTGTTTTCCTTGTTGTTTGTTGTAGTGCTGAAAAATTTGTAAAAAAGTATTATTATTATATGTTAAAAAGACCGTTTCTGTCCTCACATTCTAAATTTTTTAATCTTTAGAATCAATTAATACATGTCATATACCTAACTTACGTTATATATATAAAGAATTTCTGATGAAAAGTACCGTATACGTTTTACATTTGGCTGTGTTTAATATTTATCGCCTTTTGGCGGGAAAAATATTCTGCCAACTTAAGTACAACGCCAAATATCTTGCAGATTTGTACATAAAAAGACCATAGAGAATTGCGCTAAATTTAACTCAAGCTTATTTGTTCAAAAGGTAATTTCTGCGAAATATCGTTCACGCCTAATGTAGTACCATTATCATGATTAAAGTATATACCATTCCATAATTTAATATTTGGTTCAATATTTTCTTTGAAAACTTTGTATCTGAAATGTATTAAATTGAAAATGAGTTCTTTTATTTCCGTCAATCTAAATTTTTATATTATTTTTAAAGTGAATGAAAAATTTATATAAAAAACAGCATGACAGCTGGTCAGTTAAGGGGGAGCCTGGGATTTTATTGAATAAAAACCAAAATAAAGAAACTCTTTATTTTTTAACCACATTAGATTATATTGACTTTAGTGTACATGCCAAGTTAAGGGGAAAATATACCTCCGGATCTTCAATCACAGAACATAGAATAATTGGCTTAATCAATATACACAAAGTCAATTTCCATTATGTAGTATTTCAATGCTCAAAATATAATTTACCGAAAAAATTTTATGTTCCATAATTTGACATGATTCTCCTACTAAATTATTAACGCATAAAAAGTTTCCATGTGCTGCTAAAAATAACAAAGACAGGTAACGTAAGTCTATGCAGCCAAACATATATAAATATTCTCTTGGAAAAGGCAAAATAAAGTTGCTTCACGCATGAAACGAACGAAATGAACAGTTAATTTCGAAATTGATATTGAATAGATGCTAAAATTTTTAATCTTTGGAGACCAGTTCTCAGTATTATGATTGATTGGTTGGTTGATTTATTGATTATTGTTTAATGTCCTTCTCGAGAATTTTTTTACTCATATGGAGACGCCACCACTTGCCGGTGGAGTTTGTCCCTATTCTCGGCACTCATGCAAAGCCTTCCGAGCATTGAGGGATCTTTTTCGTGCCAGCACCTACTGCGACATGGGGCCTCGGTTAATACAGTCTCATCCACGTCCCACCAGTGGGATTCGAACCCACGACGTAAGGATTGACTCCTTCCTTTGCGACTCTGAGCAGATGCTCTAACCACAGTGCCACGCGGGGACATCAGTATTATGAAATAGACTTAGACGTATGTCAAATTTCAGTCATCTGTGAAATGTCTAAATTTATTTATATGAAACTCTATGACGCAAATTTAACAACCTTTTCATTTTTGACTTCTTGGGAAAGAAGAAGGTATGGTTTAGCTTTATTGTGCCGATTAGATTTAATGTTTCTAAGAAGTTTTGAAACTAGCTTTAAAAATTTTAGTTGAGTGTATAAAGTGAGAAAGATAAAAAAAAAATTATGGCATGAAGGAGTACCCATTCTGGAAATATGACTTCAATAAATCAATGCGTTTTTCTATTTCATAAGTAAAAATGACCGATTTGAAGGGGAATTTTCCTTAAAAAAATAGCCGTAGCCCACTGTAATACGTAGTGCAAAATACAATGAAAATCATATACCTCAAAATCTTTGTGAGCGATATCTGTGGACAATATTTTCTGATAGAAAATTTCATTGAAACTTGATGTCTTCTGCAACATTTTAAGAAAATACAGGAAATTGCACATACGTATTTAAGACTTCACAATTAGCATTTAGAAATGCATGTGAGAAAAATGAATTTTTATGCATGGAATTTCAATGATTCAGAATACATAAGTTTTAATTTAATACATCAGTTACATTTTTGGAAAACCACAGGGCAAGATTTGTATTGAAACCGTTCCTTATTCTTTCAAATCCTTATGTATTTTCATAAATTTAGCTTTGATCTTTCCCGGGACCTGGTCTTTCAATAATTATCTGATTTTCTATGCCTTTCCATTGTCAAGTGTGAGACACATTTTTTCCATGTTTTGATATTTCCTTATTTTATCAAACTTTATTTCAATGGTTACCAAACAAGAAAACTTCATGATATTTCATTGATATTCCATACTCTACGTGCAAACATGATCTGAAATAAATCAAGCTTATATACTGACACGCAAAAAGAAGCGCAACACCCTAATTTAGGGAGAAATAATTATTTAAAGTAAAGAATTTTACATCTCAAAATGTGTTCTGAAGAAACAAGGAATGTATTTCAATGAATTACATGTGTCAAATTGAATGAAGAAAGTTTAAACGAAATGAAAAATCCATTAAAAATATTTGGTATAAAAAGTCCACTTTCAAGAGTTATCTTTCCTAATTAGCCAAGACTCAAAACACTATGGAACGTTTGACATTACATCTAAAATTCAGAATAAAGCTTTAAATTGCCAGAGTATACATTTAAATCAATAAAACAAATATATAAATTAACACCAACACAGTAAATAGCGACATTAAATAAAATTTTAATTTCAACAAGGTTGTAGATTTTAACTCGAATTTCCTCCATACATACATGTCAGTGATTGATAGAGTTCACTGCATGCATGGCTAAAAAATTGACATTACTTGTTTGGCGAAGATTTGACTATTGCTTTCTTTTGTTTCTGCCTAAAAGCAATTTTTCTTGGAAAATGCATAATGAATCCGTTACTTTGTTTTCACTGTTTACAACACCGCATGTTTCATCTATTTTTAAAGCGTTTTAAAGGTCAGGGTCATATTATAAAGGTACCTATACATCTCGTCCCCTGAGCAAACCGGTCAACACAATGGAGGTTTATTTTTTTGTGTAGTACGTCATCAAAAAGTGGTGTAATGAGCCTCCTTAATGGTATTCCGATCATGAAACGAAGGACAGGACAAAAGGATTGCAGGGGATGCTCACTCCTCCATTGCATCTAATCCCACTTCTGTTGATTAAGAGGTTAGTCTTTGTTTTGTTCCTAATTTGTTTTAATTAATGGACTTTTAGACATGAATACTGTCCGTTATCTATTTCATATCATTTTAAGGAAACTGATTAATTTCTCTTTTCCTAATAAGAACAAGCACAGTTTAAAGGCAAATAAAGCCCTATATATTTCTAAAATATAAAAGTGAAAAAAAAAATTAAAATTCCTTCTTTCTGAATGAAAGGAATTCCTTGCAGTACGAATACACAAATACTTTTTTATATGACCTAAATGCTAATTGTGACACCATTAACTTGTGCATTTTCCCGTACTTTCTTAAAAAGTTGCAGAAGACATCAATTTTCAGTGAAATTTTCTTTCAGAAAACATACTCTGCCAGCGTCGTCCGGAATGATTTTCTGCTGTGATTTTTTTTTGCAGTTTACATAATATATCCAAAACTTAAAGTGGGCGACGGTGGTAAACACAATGTTCTTTAAGGAAAATTAACACAGAAATGGGTCATATTGAGGTTTTTCTGCATTTAAACTTAGAAATGCTAAATTAATGACGTCAAATTTAAAAAAGGCCATCCTTTGAGCCACGTTCTTAAATGATTTATCATATTCATCTACTCAGCTATTGTTCTAACCAATTTATAGCTTTTTATGAATATTGAATTTTTAGGACACCTTAAACCATACCTTCTTCTTTATATTTCTATTGTTTGAATGGAATGATGAGCATTGGCTCTTTCTGTTGTCTTTGTATTTCATCAAACAATTGAAAGAAGAACACATGTTTTTAGATTTACAGTTAGAGTTTACCTTTGTAAGCCCAGCCATGAAATAAAGATCCTTTTGGGTAGTGTCGATCAGTATCTGTGTGTGAACTACTTCATCAAGTCTTTTAGACATGTCCATAACAACCAGATAAAACGCTCTTCTTGAGAGGTAAATGTGATGACAGGCGTAATACGCTACTTGACCAGCGAAGTCCGTCATGCTTATGATCTGTTTGTCTTGACTTCCATCTTCCTTGTTTTCCGTTTTGGAATTCAAGTCTGAATGAAGTTGAAATGATATGTCAATATACCTCAAGATTCAATACAAGTAAAAAGAACTGAAACCAGTAGCAGCATGTGTTCATATATTATAGTCGCCCACGTGGCGCAGTGGTTAGAGTGTTTGTTAGAGTCGCAAAGCAAGGAGTCAATCCTTACGTTGCGGGTTTGAATCCAACTGTAAGAGGTGGAGACAAGTCCTTCAGATGAAATATCATAAAACGAGGTCCCGTGTCGGTGTTGGCAGAAAAAAGATTCCGGAGTGCCGAACATAGGACATAATTTGCAGCTACCCACCGGCATGTGTTTGCGTCTCTATATATGAGTGAAAATTCTCAAGAGTGATTTTGAACAGCACACGGTAGCTTTGTGGTAGAGTGGTCGCGTTATGATTAGAAAGGCCCGGCTTCGATTCTAGCTCACGGCGCTGCGTCATACCTCAGACATTATTAAACATCGGTTGTGAGTGTTCCTTATTATATAAAGCGCTCAGCACTCGAAGCGACAGGTCTTTCGGATATGACCTTAACAACGTAGGTCTCGTGTCACGGTAGGCGCTGGCACGATAAAGAGCCCCTAGCTGCCCAATTACCCTGAGTGCCAAGTACAAGACGTCAAAATTTTGAACTGCCCTTTTCGGCGGCATACGGTGACATCTCCAAATAGACTGGAACTTCTGGAGAAGAGGAATATTTAACATAATACAATCAAATAAATAATCAATATACACTCAATCAATTATGTATTTTCATAAAAATCATTTTGTTAGCCCAATGTGGATTGCACAGTTACTAGTATGATCTATCATTGACAAATTTCTCTCAAGGCTGTAGAATTATTTACCTATTAAGGTGTCATCTTTTACTTGAACGGATCTTCGTGGATTTCCAAGACCAATGGTTGTCTCAGTTGAAC